TACACAAACATACACACACATAGAGCATTTAACTTATTATTTACCATTGTTTGTTAGGCCCTTGCTGATTTATTGGCTCAACAGCAGTTTTGCTGAGAATAACACGATGCTCTGCTTTTTATCTGACTCATGCAATATTCTTGATGCCCACACACTCACAAACTCTCACTCATATACACACACACACACACACACACACACACGCTGAGTGTTAAGTGAGGCTTACAGTCAAATGCTGAAAATGTTACATGCTCTTTGAGCAAGAGCACACAACTTGTGTAGTGTTAAAGCATTTTACACACTGTATTGTGAGATTATTTTAATGTTTTGTTTATTTAACAATCACCATTCCTCTCCCCTACAGGTGGAAAACCGACCTAAATACTATGGCAGAGAGTAAGTTGGCTTTCTCTGTAGTAGTAGATTGTGTTAAGGACTTTGTGTCATTACATTATAAACAATGAGGATTCTTTTCAATTGGTATGTGGATTTTTCTTCATTAGATTCTTCAGGTTATCAAATAAGCTTACATTTTGCTATTTTTGCATCCAGGTTCCATGGGATGATCTCAAGAGAAGAGGCTGACCAGTTACTGAGTCAGGCAGAGGGCAGCTACCTCATCAGAGAGAGTCAGAGGCAGCCAGGCACTTACACACTGGCTCTAAGGTATGCTAGTTTGGGGAGACAGAACAAACATGAGCTTATTGGCAACACTAGATTTTTCAAAAAAACAGAGAAGAGCATTCTGGAGTAAGAGCATCGTCTTTAAGTGATGACGTGATGAATCCTGCTTCCGGGCCCAAACTACTCTGCGTTTAATAAGGCTGTTGTGTTTTTAACATGTTTTAATGCTTTGCATCTTGTTTTATTTAATCTACAAGCCCCTAAAACAGTCAGTGATCACTGTCGGCCTCTTTCGGTTTTTATTACCGCTAATTTTTAAGCTCAGTTTTTAAAACCTTACGATGTAACTACAGCCCAGGCAATGCAGCAGTATATTAATGACTAACCTTGTATTGTGGATGGATTATCTCACTTGTTCTCCTGACTGAAGTTTGGTCCTTTTACAACATCCTGCCATGCGATTGCATTTGTCCCTAACCATCGGGAACCCTCACATTAACTTCTATTGAGTGGAAAAAAGTTAGCATTCGTCCTCCAGCTTCACTGTTTATATTATGCTAACATAGGTGTGTCGGTAGCGATCACGTAGCACATCATTAGCTAACACATACCAGCTAGCCCAATTTCAGTAACCCTGCAAAAGTCACTGCTGTTTAGTTTTCTGTCTCCATTTATGTTGGAAGTGATAGCAGAGCTGTAAGTTTTACCTTTTTTCTCAGTCAGAACATGCTATAATATATTTAGATGGATACTAGCAAGCTAACTCCCTGGTAACTTCTAACTCCGTTAAGCCACACTGATCATTTTATTACAGATAAAAGAATTTAGACAGTTTTCAACTCTCAGTGATGCTGCAGTAATCGCTTGACTTTGGGACCTGCAGCGTAGTTTGGGCCCAGACACAGCTAATGACATCAGACTTAAATACCGGATAGAATTGAATAGCAAGGTAACAGCTAAAAGTAGAAATCTGACAGAAACATGACTGTATAAGAAACATGGCTGCAGCTTTTGGTTCTGAAAGGTTTAAACTAGTACTGTCAATAGATAAAATAAATTAACTAATTAATCGCACACTTTTCTGTAATTAATCGCAATTACTTGATCAGTAACCTGGTTGCAATTAAAATTTTTAAACTTTATATTTAAGCTTGTAACTGACATTTATGCAATATAATGAAGTAAATGCAGTATAAACACAAAAATTGTATGCTTAAATTCAAAGAGAATTTGAATAGGTTTCTTCAACATACACTAATACAGACCTTCCCAAAGTGTGGGGCCCGCCCCCAAGGGGGGGCGCAGAGCCATGGCTGGGGGGACGCGGTATGAAAAAGGGGGCGGGGACACACACAAAACGCTTGAACACTGCTAGCACGGGGCGCCTACAGAAACGCAAAGCATGAGATGAAGCATCGCTGAATATGTTTCCAAACCAACTTCATTCTAAGACAAAGACTAGAAAATATGGTGAAGCATATCTGCCCTTTGGCTTCACCTGCACAAGTGCTGAGGTAGGTCTCCCTGCAGAATTGGTTTTCCCTTCCTCGGGAGCAGCGCTGGGCTCTCCAAATCAGGGACAAACAGTATCCCACATTCTTGATTTTTAGTTCACAAACACTTGTTGTAATGACTAACTACTCCTGACATTTTGGAGATGTTAGCTCTTTATACAGTAAAGTTACAGTGGGATACAAATAATATCAGGCTGATCCTGCCATGATTTGTTCCCCCGGTTCAAATCACGGACAAACATCATCCTACAGCTGTTTATGTGTTTAAACCCATTTTGCATAGAGAGGCATTTTTTGAAAAATGTATTGATAGCAATGTTGAATATTATTACACAGGAAAAAAAAAATGTTTTTCACGTTGCGCTGTGCGCCACGTGAAAAACATTTTTCTTGTAAAACAAAGGGGGGCCTAGCAAAAAGAGTTTGGGAACCACTGCACTAATATATAATATATATTAATGCTGTCAAACAATTAAAATGTTTAATCTGATTCGCCACAGGGTTACTGTGGATTCATTTTGATTAATCATGATTAAATATCATTCATTTTTATTCAATGTTAATCACATTTCATTTCAAATATGCACTTAACATGTTTATTGAACATCTTAAACATTCATGTTAACAAAAAACTCTGTAAACATTTATCCACTCTCTCTGTCACTCTTGGAGAGGCACTTCAAGTCCTTGAAACGAAGGAACCAAAGCTATGTAAAGCGCTTGTTCTCAACGATATTAATAGGTCTGCAGTTTGTTGCAATCCACTTGGCAATTGTGTCAGTCAATATTTCCGAGGTAGACTGACTCAGTCCCCGATGCTCCGTGAGTGGTTTGTCGCAAGCTGGGTGACGCGTTAGCCAAGGTCCTAGCAGCATCCCAGACTAACGTATGCTTTGTGTCAATGTAATATTTTAAGCTGGAAGTGCTTCGGTGAAAAGAAAATTCCTTCTCACACAATGTGCAGAATACTTTATGTCGGTCGACTGTTCTGTCTTGTTATTTTTTTAATACTCAAATTTCCCGTTGAGAGGATTGGATAATAGAAGAGAGTGGATGGATGGAGTATAAATTGAACCATAAAGGAAATATTTTATGGTTTATGGTTTAATTTTATGGACTGCATGTGAGCACAGTTCTATTGGTTGAAAAAAAAACCTCTCTGTACGCAAATATGCAAAGGGATACAATTGCAGTGCGATACATAAATCATAGCTCTAGTACGAACCAGAATCTCTACATGATCAAATTTACTGAAAGGAAAAGCTGTAACCTCAAAACTTCCATCATTTGACTGCCTTAGCTCTGTGTTTATACAAAGTTTAGCTACTAGCTGTTAGCCATCTGCAGTTCTTGGGTAGCCATACACAATATTTATAGCTAGAGTAATATGATCAAATATTTACATTTTGATATATGTTGTGACAGATTTTTCAAGGCCTTTCCCCCTTATCGGCCCTATTCCCATCTCAAAGCATAGTGTAAACTATATTGATACAGTATCCAGTGCCAGAGTGAGAAGAAATACAGACACAGAATATGATATTAACTACCAAGGCTACACCTTTCTGTCTGTACAAGCACACATTTGTGTGACAGTGCATGCTGCTTTTTAAAGCTTGTCTAATTGTGTTCAGGTGCTGTAAGGTGTGAGGATTTATCTCTGCAGTCAACCTTTAAACAGCTCAAAGGAGCTCAACTTTACGTGCACATGTTTCCTCACAGCAAGGCTTGTGAAAGAGTGAGAGTAAGCCTGTTAACAGTAAGGCTTGTTTCTTGTTTTCTGTCAGTTTACCCGGCTGCCAACACTTTGCTGTTGGTTTTACTTGACTGTGAGCTATCATTTTCTCAGAGTAGGTGTCACACTTTTAAATGGGTGCATGGCTTAATTTGAATTTAGTTTTGGGTCAGTTCGGTCTATTCATAGCCGTGTCATTTTTTTTTCCACCTGCGCAACTGTTCTCAGTCATTTACTGTCCCTCCTTACCCCTGTGGTTATAATTACCTTCCATAAATACCCTTTCATAAACTTGAGTCCCAGTCTGAGTGGTAGGAAAAAGAAAGGTTGGATTTTGGGTTAATGATTTAACAGTGCTGCTTTAATCTCATTGTGATCCGCTGAGGAAGAAATAACAGCGCACGTGTGGTGGCCCAGTTCAAAGTCTGTGTGTCGATTAGAGTTTGTGCCACTCTTTTCTGGCTCCGTTTTAGCGGAAAGCAAAGCTACAGGATTTTAAATGGGAGAGAGTAACGACATGTTTTGCAGATAACCTCAGTTTTTGACCCTTGACTTGCAAAGACTGGCAGATACAAGGTTATTGCTATTTTATAGGCCCTCTCTTATCAAAATTTGTCAAGGTTTGAGTCAGACCCTGAGGATGCATTCATTGAAAAAAAATTCAAGGAAAAGATTTAACATAAATTTTGACTTTCAAAATACTGAATAACAGAATTTGCTCATTTCTTTTATCTGCAGGTTTGGGAACCAGACAAGAAACTTCCGTCTCTACCATGACGGGAAACACTTTGTTGGGGAAAAAAGGTTTGAGTCCATCCATGACCTCGTCACAGATGGCCTCATCACACTCTATATCGAGACAAAGGTGCGTTTTTGCATTGATCTGTCCTTTCTCCTGCTTTCCTTATTTATAGCAGTCCTGTTCAGCAGAGACATAAAAGCCTGTGATGCCTCAGTATGAATTATGGATGGGTATTTGTCAGAATGGCAACATTTCTCAAAAAAGTTTTACTGTCTTTGACAGGTGTAAATCCGTCAGTTTGACACATATTTATTCACTGTCATGATCATGTGAACACTTAAATTCCTTAAAAAGTCACACAGACAGAAGGAAAATTGAAATGCCTTGATGCATGCTCAGTCATCCTGGTAAAGAAATCCCAGATAGCCGACTCTGTTCATCTGGATGTATTGTGAGTGGGAAAAACGTGTCAGTATTCATTCAACTGTCTTATTCAGTCTCAACTGAACAACCTTGACCAACCCAACCTTATAAATGGTATATTTGCATAATGACCCAAATTAGCAACTAGTAAACACTGACTAACAATGGGCCGTCAGGTCAGTTTTATGATCATTGATACATTGATATGCAGATTGTAATGACGATCACATTGACAGTTAAATCAAACAACCCCTAGCTAAGCAGATGGCACAGTCCAGAAGAGCTGTCTCATTAGGCCACGAGTCTGCAGTCTGTTTCCAACTAGAGACCAGTGGCCAGTCGTTCAGTGATGAAGTTGAAACACCATCTCTGAATCAAGGAGGGGGCCTATAAGTATATCTTTCATCATTTTAAAATGCTGTGATTGCAGCCATTCCCCAACTCTCTGTGAATGGAACTCATGGTCATTGATCAGTGATCATGAGAATTTGCATATCAACGATCATGAAACTGATCTGACGACCCATTGTTAGTTAGTAGTGCTAGTTTCAGTCATTGCGCAAATGTACTTTTTATAGGGTTGAGAAAGGAATCACTTAGATGATTGACAAAATGTTTCTCCCACTGAAAATTCTGCGTCCAGATGAACAGAATTCAAATCTCTTTCAGAAGACAGAAGTCCCATTATGTATTATTTGCTTATTTCAACTATAAAAAAAGTGTCTCAGGACATAAAACATGGATAATGAAGAACATTATTAGTTATAGTTGTGGGCCAGCTAAAGAAAAATTAACAGTAAAAATGTAAGGTTTTAGGGGACACAGAAACACTGAACTTCCCATAGACTACCTAAACATAAGTTGGAAGAAGTCTATAAATCTAAAAACGGGGCCAAATCTATAGGTAAGAGGCAAGATTTTATTCCCTGGAAGCCAAAAAAATTGTCTGCTGCCTCCAGAGATACAAAGACAAGGCAACAGTTTCCCAGATTGAAGTTACAGGGATTTAATTCTCTTCTCAGGCAGCAGAGTACATCGCTAAGATGACCATAAATCCTATCTATGAGCATGTGGGATACACCACTCTGAACCAGGAGCCCACCCTGAAAAAACACCTCCCTCACAGCCAGGAGGAACCTGACGGACCGACTCCAGCCAAAGATGACCATAACACAGAGGAAAGGGTGAGGACAATCAGTGATCTAGATATCGTATATCCTATCAGCGTGATGTCATTTATCTGCTGTAAGATGCACCAAGTTTGACTTCATAATTATTGTTCAGACTTGTCCACAACCTTTGAATAGATCATTCAGAGGATCTATACTTTAGAGCTTTAGAGGGTGAATAATAAGAATGATAAACCTTAATCTGTAATCACAATGAATACAAGTCAATATTTTCCGGGCTTATCACTTCCTACAAGAAATGTCGAAATGTGGGTTTTTAAGAAGGATCTTGTGTAGACACTCTGGAAGATGCTTCTTAAAAACATGTGTTCCTGGCAACTGACCTGAAGGCCTTGGCGAGGGGATTGAATAAGAAATGTTGGCTGAAGTTTACAGTCACTGAGATGAGTCCTAGTTTTTTCATTTTAATCAGAGGAGTGGCAAAGGATGAGGACATTGGAGTCTACACTGTGAAGTCCAGACATGTGGGATAATTAAAAATGGAAAAAAAAGAAATTTATATATTTTGGTTATTTGCTGGCTTAGTAGCATAATGTATACATTACTGTATGTACCCTATCTCCTTGTTAACAGGTCGTCCAATCTGAACTAAACTTTTCACAAGCATGGTCATACATGCAGTGATTATCATTTATTCACCAAAATTTGTATTTGTGACAGAATTTCGTTTCACTCACCTCTAAATACTGAATTAAGACTTTTGAAAAGTATCACAGACTTTGGTTTCATATAACACGACTTAATTAATTACTGTTAATTACACTAAAGCGCTGCATTAATGTAAATCTGTTACTTTAGGCTGGTCCAAGCAATGCAACAATCCTCTAGTACATGGATGCCAAACATAGGGCACAGTGGCCAAATTCGGCCCTGCAAAAGACTTCAATCCGACCTGCCTGACAGCTTTGGAAAATGTGAAGGAAGGCATAAATTTTGGGTGTGTAAATGTATTTTAATAAGTTGTACAGGTTTTTCCTGTTGATAAAGACCTTTTCAGATGTCTGTATGAATCCCATCACCTCTTTATCAGGTTCGGCCAATGTGCAGTGTTACGTTCTCCATTTGTGTCCGTTTCAAGTTGCATGTTCAGCGTACGTCACCTGAACGCAACATAATGGTCGCCAAAATTTGTATCTGCAACAGAATTTTGTTCAAGACTTTGAAAAAGTGCAGCAGACCATTGATAGGGCGTGTTTTTCCTAGCTATTTAACCATTTTTGGTAACAGTGTATACAACATGGTAATAAAAAGTTCTACATTTCTGTTTCAGTTTAACAAGTGATAGTTCAGTTCATACTGGATTTATACTGTGAGCAGTATGAGGTATTATGTAATTTCTTAAAGTCTCTGAACCTTACCTGTGTTACTAGAGGTTATAACATTCATAATGCCTAATGTGAGCGTATATACCACCAAAAAGTATAAATGATAAACACATATATCTAAAAAGATTAGGTCTTTAAATGTTAAGAGACCATGTAGAGAATTCAAATGAGCAGAGGAAAGTTGGTGTAAATGCAGCAGCAGGATAGAAGGATGAGAGTTGAGGAACATGGAGAAAGAAGGTGAAGAAAAAGAAGAAGGAGGCGGAGGATGGATGCAGAGGAGAGATGGCCTCCAGCCAAGGGCTCTGCAGTAAAATTACATAACAGCGGTTTGCCTGCAGAAACCTGCTATGTCCCAAAAGCTACAAAGTATACAGGAATCAAGTTTGTTGTCGGCTCATTAATTTTCGTTCAGATGTGAATTAATTAGAGTGTTAAAGCAGGGACTGAGGGAAAACTTTTTTCCTGTAGGTGGAGGTTTTTTCTTTTTCTTTTTTTTTCTTTTTTTTTTTTTAAATAGGAAGATGCGAGGTTTCTTGGATGCTAATGACTGAGCAACTTCTAATGCAAATTTCAGTTCTGCGACTGTGAGTTTGTGCTGATGAGTGCATGCAGCTGCATTCAGGCTTATACTACAAAACCCCCAAGACCCCTGCATACACACACAAACACATACACACAATAATATAATCCAGTTCCCACACACACACACACACACACACACACACACACACACACACACACACACACACACAAACACCGTGCACACAGTGCAGTATGTTTATCTGCTAAACCACTGCTCAGCCTCATGAGGCCTTATGTGACCTGCAGTGCATGACCACCTGCACTGCACCTCATACATCACTGTGTGTGTGTGTGTGTGTGTGTGTGTGTGTATGATGGGGGTGGTCCTGTGTACGTGTGTGCCTTCATAATTGGGTGGATTTGCAGACAAAGCAGTACGCCAGTGACATTGAGACCAGAGGCAGCTCGCTGTGGGGACAACAACCACTAGAAGGAAATTCGTATTTTTTTTTCATGCAGCTAATCACCTTTAGTTACGGGGGTTAAACTCTGTTTTACTGTGCCTTTGAGGGCGATTCAGACGTGCGTTTTTAAACATTAATTGTTAAAGCCTTGTTATCAGATTGAAATCACTGGACGGTGAGGTGAAATGTGGCGGAAAAATAAGATTGCACTTTTTGGTCTACCTGAGAAAATGATAGAAAAACTCAGTAATATCCGGTGATTTTTAGCTCTGCAGATTTTATCTACAGCTGTTATGCTTCTTCCTTTTCTGTCTTTTTTTTTTTTAAGCCCTTTTTGCATCTGACTGTGATCAAGGTGCTCTTTTGTGAGCCAACCTGCACCCCGCTGCATTCAGCACAGTGACAACAGTCATTAAATATCCATGATCAGTCATACATATTCACTGTGTTGTGTGTATAAGCTGAGAATTAATGAAGTTGGATGTGTGGCAGCTTGTTTTAATTGGATTTTTGATGAAAAAATCCACACGTTTCTTTGGTTATATCTATCTGTGGGACCATAGAAAACACACAGCTTGTAAATCTTACATATTCTTTGCCCAAAAACAAGTCGAAAAAGAGAAAACATCCCCCTTCCCAGAGGCAGTACTTAACAAGGGACGTCTTCTAAAGTGCACTTAAGTCCAGACTAAACTGCTCTTATATAATGTTCCTTATGTGGCATGAGACAATGGATGCAACCCAAGAGCAACACGAGGACACAAGGTTTGTGTTTATCTGTTACCGCCGGGTGTATAAGGCAGATACAGCAGCTCCTAGTTGTCATAAATACTGGAAGCTTTTAGTGGAAAAGCATCCAGCTGCTGCAGGTGGAATGACAAAGGAAAACGGGGGGAAACAAAGAGGAAGAAAAAAATGTGAAGGAATGAATGAAACAACATATTGTTTCTCAGCTCATTCTCCCTCCTTTTCGCCGTCTCTCCTGGGACAATCGAGGTGGCAGAATTGGTGACGAACAACAAGAAAATGCAGCATCCTGATTGGCTCCTTCCCCTCTCATTGTGACCTGTTAAATTCATCCATTGCTGCACCGTAGCTCAGCTTACTCCCCCCACCTTCCTCCTCCTCTTCTGGCTCTCTCCGCCTCCCTCCCTCCCAAGCGCTGTTTCTGCCTGGTGTAGAGGATGGGGAAAGCGGATTAACACACACACACACACACACACATATATACAGAGCCATGTGGGTTGACGCGTTCACTTACACGGGAGCGAGACACAGGAATTCTGTCGCATCAGGATTTCACAAACACCTTCCAAGGAGTGGAGATTTGTTGAGTTTTATTCACTGAAGTTTTCAGGACAGATTTCTTGTTGCCTGCCTGGCTTTTTCTGTTTGTTTGTTTTCTGTTTGTTTTTTGTTTTTTAATGAACTGGAATTGCACCATTTAACCCCATCAGTATGCAGCGCTAATCTGATTGGTTGATCTTTGTGGTTCTAAGACAGCAGGATTGGTCCCATGCTGGCTCCTCGGTTTGGGTTGTTGTTGTCAGATGCTGTGAGAGCTGTGAGATGATTTGAGGATAGTTGTTTTGCTATTTTTTTTTTTTACTGTATTAATTATTCTGGGATTTTTTTTTCTTATGTTATTTATTTATTTTATTTTAAAGCAGCCTTTAAGAAAAATTACATTTTTCAGCAGGCTGTTTGGTTTATTGTTTTAATCAGCGGGAAAACTTTGTTTTCTTTTATATTATTTTTTCTTTTTCTCTGTTGATCCCACAATGCCGAGCCAAGAGTCGTATGTTGTTAGGAGGGGTAAAAAGAAGTCACGCAGGCGAGGCGAGAAGGAAATAAGTCAGAAGGGCTCTTTGTTTACTGCCGCGCTCGCCTTGAATGCCAGTGCTGGTTCAATTCCCTCCTTGCCACTCTCCGCGGGCTCCTCGGACCCCGGTGCTGCAGCCAACCGGGCAACAGCCCCCTCCAAACCCACCTCCCCTGCTTCCACTTTCTGGCATCCAATCCGATCTTTTGCCCTTTCACAGCTCACATCACTGGTGCGGCGGGCCACCCTGAGGGAGAGCGACTTGGCGCCCAAGTATGAGAAGGTCCACAACTTCAAGGTGAGACACTCATTTGCTTCCCCAATCCTATTTATGTGTGTGAGTGTGCTGCCAGGATCGCTGATTCAGCTCGTGGGGACTTATTCAAATTCACCATAGAAGGCTTAGAGTGTTAAGAAACACACACAAACGCACACACTCTTCATGTTTTCAGCCTTTGTTTACTTTTAGATTCCTGTATAATGATTTTGTGTATTATTAGTGAGAGGCGCAACAGAGCCACAGTGTCCCGAGCTCAAGAGTAATGTGGACAGACACACACACAGACACACAAAGATTACTGCGATGTGATGGAGGTTATTAGCATTTCATTATACAGAGCCAATTTGTGCAATAAATGAGCAGATTAAAACTCTGCTCTCACTATAAATTGTCTCTGAGCACCCTTTCAGCACTCCTATTGTGTCTCCATCAGTCTTTTGTCAGTCTCTAATAAAGGTTACTGCTGGTATTCAGGTATTACTTGACCCAGTCTGGATCATATGAATAATTTCCCCACCCTTTTCTCTCAAATATACAATTATTGGCTATTTTGACTGATGTGTTTCACTCTTTTTTTTCTCTGACCCGATCTGCTGCTGTTTAATAATTATTGTGGCAAATATAACGTTTAAACACATCGAGTTTGTCTTTTTTTATGTCTATTTAACCAGGTTCATACATTCAGGGGTCCCCATTGGTGTGAGTACTGTGCCAACTTCATGTGGGGTCTCATCGCTCAGGGAGTGAAATGTGCAGGTAAGTCACAAACAAAAAAACGCATTCCTTCTCGACATAAAGTAATTTTCGTCTTCCAATCATGATTCAGTTTCCACTTCTTTCACTCGTACTTTCTGTCTTAAAGCATGACTCGAAAGTAGGAGAGCAGGCTAAAGTTAATCACTTTCACTGTTGTTGACTCATCTGCGCCGTTTCATGGATTTTAAAATGTTAAAAGACTGGCTTGGGTGCCAAAGAACAAACTGTCAGTGTGATCACTACTGCATGTGTGGGTGATTGAACTGGGCTTCTGCAACGCCTACATTTAAAAGCAACTTTCATCATGCAGTCTAGCAATGACTCTTAAGGATCATCACAAGTAAAATAAAAAATAAAAAAACAGAGATGTCTAAAAATGGACATAAAGTGACGTAAAACAAAATTCTGGGTTTCTTTGTCAGATTGTGGGTTGAACGTCCATAAGCAGTGCTCCAAAGTCGTACCCAACGACTGCCAGCCAGACCTTCGGCACGTCAAGAAGGTGTACAGCTGTGACCTGACAACGCTGGTCAAAGCCCACAACACCAAGAGACCCATGGTGGTTGACATGTGTATACAGGAAATTGAGGCCAGAGGTGAGAGAAAGAGAGCGCATATGTGTGACTCAGAGATTATATAACAGAAAAAGGCTTGTAAGAATTGTTTGCAGCAAGGTTAAGAGAAGTGGGGGGAGGAAAGGAGAACACCCACAAGGCTGGCGTTCATACACAAGATGCGATTGCCTTTGTGTGTGTCAGCCCACCCACTCAATGCTAAAAAGATGTACGCAGGCAGCTTCATCTGTGAATGTAGGTGTGCGTGTGTGGAGAGTGACAGTTTCCCCCTCTAGAGAGCTGCCGCAGACAGCATTTTATTGATGACTTGAGTGAAACTAATACGTGAAATCAATAAAGACTTGAAAAGATTGAACTTGACTGGAGCGAGAGAGACAGTTGAAGTCTTCACCCCACGCTTTATTTCTTCCTTCTGCCTTCACATATGTTGTGTTTGTGTGTGTTTAATAATCATTTTTGCATCCATTTCAGTTGTATTTGCTAATAGCAGGAAAGAAACATAAATTTTATCATTTCTTTAAGACATAAATAGAAAGCATTCTCATCTGAGAGGCTGTACACTGAATTTTTTTTAGTTGGTTATGTAGAATTTAAGCTTATCGTAGTCATCAAATTAATATTGGTATGATTTAAACCTTCCAGGTCTTCAGTCAGAAGGTTTATACAGAATATCAGGCTTCAGCGAGCTGATTGAAGACGTCAAACTGGCCTTTGATAGAGGTAAGTGTCGCTCCCCAATGTTCCATAAGCAGGTTCTTTTGCCAAATAAATTAAATGTCATGCGCACGATTGTTCCTCCACAGACGGAGAGAAAGCAGACATATCCTCAAATGCTTACGAGGACATCAACATCATCACCGGAGCCCTCAAACTGTACTTCAGAGAGCTGCCCATACCCCTCATCACGTATGATGCCTACCCACGCTTCATAGAAGCTGCAAGTAGGTCTTAACATTCAGGCTTTTAACCACAATTTACCTTAAAACTCAAAGATGACTTGTTCAGGGTTATAGGGAAATAAGCAACAAAAGGAGTCCTAGACAACCCTCTCTTTTGTAGGTCACCAAGAGGCAACTCTCAGTCTGGATCCTCTTTAAATTTTAATTGAATACCCCTGGTTAACATCAGTTAAAATTGTATGGTTACATTTTTAACCGATGTTAGCCAAATGAAGGCGGTTTAGACACGCCAGTATTCACTCTCATGAGACTTCTAAGCTTCCTATTGGAGAAATTTAGGTTTCTGAAATAACTGTAAAAATTTAAACAGATTCAATAAAACCTTAGTTAGAACTCCTGAAAACAGACTGTTAAATAGAAGATGGACGTAGCCACCATTGGTTGTTAAAGTTTATGGAACTATGCCATCTTGGTTTTTGGGGAGGTGATAATGTGGTATGGTTGGTTTGCTTATACTTTACCCAATGAGTATCTATTACCCTCCTTAACAGAAGTCTATGTCTGTTCGGGCTGTTTCTTGAACAGAAATTACTTTAAAGGTACCTAAATTAAACCACGCTTGTATGATGCTGGCTAAAAATACTTTCATCACAGACCTGATATTTATCGGGTGATATTATTCTTTATTTTAGATCAAATGTGGTAAATTACCATAGAATTTCATTAAAATAATACTTAAAACTTGTGACAAAGGTCATAAACTCATTTGGAAAATATTGTTAAATCAAATGAGACTTGAGGTCTTTTGTTTTTTCTTTTTTTTATTTTTGAAAGACTTCTTTTCAAAATATTGACCTGGAGGCTAAACCTATCATTTGTATAGTGCACTATCTCAATATTTTCGTGTGTGTGTGTGTTGTAGAAATAACAGACCCAGAGAAACGACTGGAGGCCCTCCATGAGGCCTTGAAGCTGCTGCCACCAGCTCACTGCGAGACGCTGCGATACCTCATGGGTCACCTCAAGAGGTCAGACACACACACGAGCAGTTGTTTTACTTTGTTACATACTTATTTCTTTGGTATCTCCATTATTATTTGACTGTTGTTTTTACATATTATATAAATTGGTCAATTTCTTCATTCAGAGTGACACAATACGAGAAGGAGAATCTCATGACTAGCGAGAATTTAGGCATCGTCTTCGGCCCAACGCTTATGAGGGCGCCCGAGCTCGACGCCATGACGGCACTCAACGATATCCGATATCAGAGACTTGTGGTGGAAAGTCTCATTACCAATGAAGATGTGTTGTTCTGAGGTGCAAGAGGAGATAAAAAGAGAGACTGGGGATGACACGTGAATGCTTTTAAAGATAAAAAGGTGGCTTCTAATGAGAAAATGAAGGAGAAACATGCAAGATACTTGTGTCTCGCTAGAGAGGATTAAAAAATATACTACCTGCTTTTGTGATGGTTGGATAAATCGAGAAATGAAGGAAGTGTCTGTCTTCATGAAAGCAATTTAACAAAATCTATCTTGAGACACAGCAGCTTTGAGTGAAGAAGTGGATGGAAGGACCCAGCATTTCCCTAAATTTTAATGAAAATAGGAGCAAAACATCAAGTCAACGAGCTCTACTTTGTCTCTATGAGTTGGTATTACAAACACCCTGTATCAGCGAGAGAATTAACAATGTGTGGTAGAAACACTGCACCATCTATCTTTACGTTCTTGTCATTTCTTCCTACAAGGATGCCTTGACATTTTGGATTGTGGAAAAACATGACTGTATTGAAAATGTTAGCTTGGTTAGTGTTTATCATTGAAAGTCCTGGTAAGTTTTCTTGTTTTCTTAGTGTCAGTGTGTCCCATTTGATCCTCTTGAAGAGAAGAAGCAGCAGCACTGGCTTCCTAACAGTAGACAGCCGGATGAATGAATGAATGACTGGAAAAAGTGTATTGCTCACGTTTGGCGCATACTCATTCCTCCAAATGGAACTAAAGTGATTTGGGCCTATGGCCTTTCTTTTTTCCTTCCTCTTCTTTTGCTCCGCTTTTGCTTCACGTCGCGCCCCGTCGCTGAATTATAACCACACAGCAACCTCAAACCGCCTTCTTCTTCTACTTTTTTTTCTTTTTTTGTGGTGTGATGATGTGTAATTGCGCCCGGCGATGAAGTGGGCGGAGCTGCAAATTAACAATCCTTCATTCTCTCACTTCTCCACTTTCTGCGCGTTGAAAACCTGACAGGAAATGACACTTAAAATTCAGCGAGAGTCTATTTAAAGGAAGCGTTTTTCCAGTTCCTGAAAGAGCATCTTTCCAAGTGAAAATTTTGTTTCTGACACAACTTATAAACATAGAGCAAGAAATACTGTGCCAGACCATCTGTCAGACATGAACACACAGTATTTACCAGTAATTGTCAGGCAGCTTTAGCCGTCATACTTTGCTGTAGTGGCAGATGCCGAGGGGAGGGACACCCTCGTTTGACTTGAAACGCAAATACGTGAGGCCAGTACTGTTTTTGCTTTGGTTTGTCATTTGTATAAAGCAGTGCTGTAATTAAGCAGTGTTTTGTTATGAAGGAGATTTTTGAGATGAAAATACTAATTTAAATTCATCATCACTCGCCCGACTGCAATTCAACAAAATGAAGCACACTAATAATTTCAAGGCCCATCTCTGTTATTGGCCTGAGTGGGATAATTGGGCAAGTTTTAATATCAAATCGAATCCCAATTGCTTTGCATCAGTGCTTTGCCTCTCCTTCTGTAAACATGTTTGGAAGTCATGTATCTGTCACTTGTGTTGATGCCACTTAATCTAACTGTGAAACTGGAGGAAGTGATGATAATTTCAAGCCCAAAGGTCAGTCTGTATTTCATATCTTAACGTCTGCCTTCTGCAGTGAACATGAGATTTTTCCCTGACTAGAGCAGGTGACAGATTACAGAGGTTTTTGAGTTTGCTGTAATGTTTTGATGCCATAAAAGCAGTGTCCATGATAGAAATCATCTGTCCATGCTTTTTTATTTGTTGTTAAACTAGTGCCATTTGAAAGGGTGGAGGTGTAAAATGAAGGCTTTCTGCATGTACCCCCACCTGCTATAACTCACCTTTACTCATTCCTCCCCCCATTTTTGTCGGGGGGTTCACTGAGTAGTGAAGACCCACCCGGCTTGAAGACCTTTTTGGCTTTTTTTTGGTTTGGTTTCTTTTTTTGTAAAGCAAGGACAGTTACTGGGTGTAAATCAAATTGATGTAACATAAAAATAACATCAGCATTTTTCTAATGGATTATGTTTTCATGTTATCTGTTTTCTTTATTTACATTGTCTAACCATAGACTAACTCTTATCAGACTAACCTGATGAAAACTTGTGACCCTTCAGTGATCTGTGACGGCTGCTTTTTTAGCATCATGATTAAAATGTGTTGGGGTTTTTTGGTTTTGTTTTGTTTTTTTATTGTCATTGCTGTAAAGTATTTTCTATATGGTTTATGCATGGTGAAGTTAAATTATTAAATATGACTTTAAGTTGGTCGTCTGAATTTTGTGTTTTAATCCATTTGAGTATGGATGTGTCCAAGAAGACCTGCTGAAGTTCAAACTGAGCACCAGAATGGGGAAGAAAGGTGATTTAAGGCCAAGGTGGTCTGAGTGTTTCACAAACTGCTCATCTACTGTGATCTTCCCACACAACCGGTGGTTTGAAAAAGAGAAAATATCCAGGGATTAGCAGTTCTCTGGGTGATGACAGATGATAGCGGTCATAGGGGAACAGCTAGACTGTTTTGAGCTGATAAAAAGAAAATAGTCAAGTATTCATTTGATTTAATGGGGACATTGCAGTTTAACATGGTAATGATACAGAGCATGAAACTGCTGCACAGAGATTTTATAGCTTTTTTTTTTTCATTTTCAATCCTTATCCATAGTTGGGCTAATAAACTACTAATTGTAGTATAATTAATTAAATCAAGTGCAGCTCTGACTTACTTTTAACAAACCTTTGACAACAACGGTTGTTTGTAATAATGTAATAATTATTATACCACATTCTGTAACAATGCTGTTGAATTAATGTAACAAATCCCTTTATACAGAATTTCTGATGACTTTTTGAATTTCCCTGGAACGTAACCAGCTTGCTGTATCTGTGTTATGAGCAGTGACAAGAAACAAAACCTCCCTCTTAAGTTCAATATTTCTTTTAGTATAATTTTAATTTTCAAAAACCAATAAATGTTTTTAACATTTTTTAACACTGAGACAATATTGTATACTGTGGCTAAACAAAATTTTTAAGACTTCCAAAATGTCTAAACTATTTTAAAGCATTTTATTTAAAATATTTTGCGCCATAATTTTCTAAATTAAATAACACATGGTGGTTTTAGACATCAGTGTTTTAAAAATAAATGAATCAATAAAAAATAAATAGTAAAAAAGTGAAGTAACTAAGTCTGTAAGATAAAATAATGGACTTTGATACGGTAGTTACTTCTGTTTTTAAGCGCTATGCAGCAAAACTTCATGTTCGGGCACGCCTTGTACTTTTTCACACCACGTGCTCATGACTTGGCTCGAGCGTCCTCCATTTGCTGCTCGAACTGGTCGCGATGCGGGCTTTTACTCGGACACACCATAGCAAGACTACCACTATATAACCACATGAATTTAGGTTGCCTCGAGAAGCATACAAACGAGTTATTTTCTATTTATATTGTTAAAGCAAACCTCAGTATAAATAGTCTGGAGAGGAGTTTGCTAGCGGGTGACTGCACGGACTTCGGCCATGTGCGTCGAGGAAAAAAAGCGCAGACGATGTTAACTATATGATACAAGGTGAGGCACCGTAGGGCTAGAATGAGGACGCTTGTATTGTTTTTTGTGAATTTCCTCTGTTAAGTTTAAAATAACGTGTTTTTGTGCAGATATTGTTAGCTTGAGGTGGCGACTAGCGAACAACTAGCCACTAATACTAGCCTACCTACTATTCATTAGCATCAGCATGACGCCTAAACTACAGTTACTTGGTTATTAACACAAGTGCAAATTTGCTTCTTTTTAAGCTGCTGAATATGACTGTTTTAATAAACATATGTGAAAGAGTTTTGTTTGGTGTGCTAGCTGTCAGCAGGTTTAACATTTTTTAAGTTTGCTGCGTTTTGGGTAATGAGTGGAAGGTAAAGTGCACTCACAGTGTACTTCACCCCTTTGGAAAACAATTGATCTTCACGAAATTCCAGTATCCAATTTTACCTATTTATAACAGTGCCATAGTAGCTTTAGCTGTGTGTAAAAAGCCTTCTTGTTGACTGTAGTGGCAAGCCTCGTTGGCGCAGTAGGCAGCGCGTCAGTCTCATAATCTGAAGGTCGTGAGTTCGAGCCTCACACGGGGCAGAATATTTTGTTTACATCCATATGAACAGAATCGACTTTATGGCACTTTGAGTACATTTTAGAGATGTGTTTTAGAGATAGTTATAAATGAATTTCACAGCTACTGCGTCTTGTAGTTTAAAATTTTTAGTTTGCTTGGACTGGATATCAATTTTAGTTATAGCCTTTCTTTCCTGTAAAACTATGCTAAAGCCTATTCTTACTAAGAAGAAGTGTGAATTTTGAAAAAGTAGGGGTTGGGATTAAAGCTACAAGCCCGGCTAGCTCAGTCGGTAGAGCATGAGACTCTTAATCTCAGGGTCGTGGGTTCGAGCCCCACGTTGGGCGTTAGACTTTTCCTCATTTGCCCCGCTTCCTGTTTGTCTTCTTTTGTAATTTTCATGTCCAGTGCTTGGACCCTAGAAAGTCTACATGTCATTTTCAGTGGGAAACCACTGAAACACAGAAATCATGAGAGACATTGTTTATGTATGCATGTTAATTCAGTAATTAGATAAGGGTAGCTGTGAGCATTGGTGGTTCAGTGGTAGAATTCTCGCCTGCCACGCGGGAGGCCCGGGTTCGATTCCCGGCCAATGCAACAATCTTTTGAATTTTTTTAGTCTATAAATTAATTTCTATCTTTTTTGAGTACACAGAGACATTTGCTTTTATTTTTTTATGTTGCTTTTATTTTGGCTTAACTGTCAATATTACAGACCCTAATTGTACTTGTTTGAAGTCTGTTTGAAGTCCTGTGGTAGAATGGGACATGAGGGGTATGGTGGGTGGTGTTGGGGGATGGTCAGTGGGAGTGGAAGTGGGGGTGGGTGGCTCTTGCGTCAAATCACAACACCAATGATGTCAAAGCATCAATAAAAGAGACAAATAAAGTTATCAGCCCTACATTTTCAAATCCGTAACCTTTTCAACTTGCTGCCCGGTTTTAGATATGGACAAATTCTTGGTTCTAATATTCTCAGCATATTTTTATTTGTTCAGGGGTAATATGACTTTTGTTGGTCCATTGGTGTATTGCATCATAGGCCTCGTTGGCGCAGTAGGCAGCGCGTCAGTCTCATAATCTGAAGGTCGTGAGTTCGAGCCTCACACGGGGCAGTTTCTTTTGACACACACATTTCTTGTTTTTGCAAATGGTTATGCATATGCTTATTTTGTAGTATAATCAACTATTACTTCCAGCACCCCCATGTGTGGCAGGCTGTTAAGACAGCTCTGCTCATTTCTGAGCTTTTGCATTTAAGTCAACCTAGGATGAGTTGTTTTAATTTTCATATGGTCATTAGAGTGTCCACTCTAATGCAATGTGCTTGAAAAGCTTGGAGCTTTCTCACGTGTGGGGATAGTAAAGGTTTACCTTATTACACAAAAAAAAAAAAAAAATACACTCCCCGTCGGGGAATCGAACCCCGGTCTCCCGCGTGACAGGCGGGGATACTAACCACTATACTAACGAGGAGATACTTTTGTCAACTCTTTACCGTTAGTAAAGTAAGTAAGTAGTAAGACCAGTGATCGGAATAACAGCAGTAAAAGTGAGGGATATGTCATTTGTTTGTTTCGCAAGAGGGGCAGGTTTTAGGAGTGACAGCGGCAAGAGAGAGAGTAATGTGAGAGAATTTATGTATATGGCAACATTTATGTATATATATGTATACATATTTTACAAATTAAATAGAGTAAACTAAAATACTCTATTTAATAAAATATAATATATATAAAAAAATATACAGAGTTGGTTGAGACATGTGCAAAACAGTGGCATTAATGTACAGTATGTAGTGCATAATGGTGAAGTTCCAGTAGTGGAGGTGAGGTGTCTATGAAGTGTTCAGCAGTCTGATGGCCTGATGGAAAAAGCTGTCTCTTGGTCTGCTGGTACGGGACCGGATGCTGCAGAACCTCCTTCCTGATGGAAGTAGTCTGAACAGTTTATGGCTGGGGTGACTGGAGTCCTTGATG